GGAATACTGATCACTTTCCTAAAGAACAACACCCTCACTCTGGCCTGCAAAGGCAAAATGCAGTAACGATCTATCGCATCAGCACACTTTCTGCACTCACTGCCATAGAACTGAACCACACAGCTAAAGTCACAGAAAGACGGGTAAAGCTATTGAAATACAGCAAACTGTGAATGTGTCTGCCTTTTATGTTGGAAGGTCTTTCTTTAAGGTTCAGTGAGTTCATCTGATTTTGAGAAAGAATGTTTAGATGGTGTAAATGGTCATTACAAAATACATGTTGTAGAGGTAAACAATATTTTGGTAGCTGTTTTGATGATATGTTATGAGGGTTAATGCCAATAAATGACTTTTATAACTTGTGCTTAGATAGCAGCTCAGCTGATAACATACTGCAAACAAGTTATTGACTCTTGTGAGTTCAGTGTAATTGGTAAAACTATTACATAGTTTATTTAGCTAAAAATGTTTTCATTAATATTATTATTATGATTTCCTTTTATGTCTCTTTTGAATACTACTGCTACTACTATCAAAATAGCCCTCTCATATTTCTTCTTATCCTCCTGCATTTATTCTCCTCCAGGAGTCCATCAGTGATTTCTACTGGTATTATTCTGGGAAAGATGTGATTGATGAGCAGGGCCAGCGGAATTTCTCCAAGGCAATAAATGTGGCCAAGCAGGTTTTCAATACCCTCACTGAGTACATCCAGGTAAGGGCATACAATACAGTCATCAGTGTTAAAATGAACATGAAACATTACATGTATAAAGGCTAATTTCAGTGAGGGTCAAAAATTTTCATACATTTAACGTTTTTCTTGCTGGATTTAAGAAATAAGTGTTTAGAGCCTGTTTAGCGCCATCTTGTGCCAGTACAAAACATGATGTCACTTGGTTGTTTTAATGCTAATAGGCTTATCTCAGTTTCCGTTAGCTAATTAGTGACAAAACTCATACCTCAGAAACATTAAAACGATAAAGCAGCCAAAGGGGATCACTTTACCTTGGTTGTAAAGCTGGAGTACCTCAAGGCTCCGTACTTAGACCACTTTTATTTTCTTTACATTTTAATTACTAACCCAATGTCTGTCATAACATCAATACCCAGCTGTATGCAGATAATTCTGTTATTTTTATACAGACAAAGTCCGATATGGAAGTTTATAAAACAAAACTCCACAAGAGTGATGAACTGTATGAACAGTCATGTCTATTATTTAATTAACTGCTTTTCTCAAAGCTGATTTTATCAAAATGACCAACATCCAAATTATTCTCTAATGTTATTCTGAAAAGAGAATTTCAGATTAAACATACATTTAAATATCTTTGTGTTATTATAGATTCAAACTAAGCATCATTCATTTTAACCTACACAATTTGGAACAAATCAGATCATCACTGCCAGATAATGCAGCTAGGCTGCTTCTCTATTCTATGATTTGTTTCTCACATAGAAACTATTTTGCTAATTGGCCCTTTTCCTTCCATCATTGTCTCAGACTTCAGAAGTACTTCAGAAAAAAGGCCTTTTGGCTAATTCATATTTACATTCATATGTTCATCCTAATATGCACAGTCCCATTTAAACAAATACATTTAAAACAATTAAAAAATACACGTAGTCATTCATGTCCACTTTAAATCACTACTATACAGTCATGTTATAGGTACTAAGTCATAGAATTTATAGTTTGTTTTTATTTTTGTTTTTTACTGCAGTGACAGCTGTTGCTTAATTAGAAGTAAAAATTTGGAAAACAAGCAGACTGATAAACCTGCGATGATCTTCCCAGCATTGAGGCAGTAATGGGAGCCAGTGATCTGCAAAAATAAATAATACAATTTCATATTATGTCCAATAAAATGGACAGTTTTAAAGTCACATTCATTTCGTGAAAAAGCTTCATTTGAGTCATTTTCTGAAGTTGTATCTGTAAAATACATTCACACTTATTAATGCTTTTCTAGGGTCCATGCACCGGCAACCAGCAGAGTTTAGCCCATAGTCGGCTGTGGGATGCTGTGGTTGGCTTTCTACATGTTTTTGCTCACATGCAGATGAAATTGTCTCAGGTACGTAAATTTAGTGATGGGTGTCTGCAGACTCAGGCTCTGACATAATGATCAATGCCACTAGACATAACACAGTTGGCAACTTGTGGATTGTTTATCCCAAGAATCATTTTCATTATATTCTATAAAAAACAACGATCACTCATAAATATCTCTGATTCTCAAAAAAAATCGCGACACACTACCAATATCTGTGCTTCAGGGTATTATTGGCCAGTGATGTGAGTCTAATGTGATTATTATTATATCTGAACGAAGTCTACCAGTCAGTCAAAAGTTTAGGGTCATCTGTTCTTTCAGTTAAGAACTCTTAAAAATCAGAATTAATTATGTCTCCCTGTAGTTTTAGAACATGTTTTCCTGGAACTTCAAGGCTGGTAGTTTTGCTGGTATGTTGGTTCCTTATTAGCATAGACTAAGATCCATAACCAGAGCTCTCTTAGCTCTTTCAGCTATTTCCTTTCTTATCTCAGGTGCCAGCCCCATAGCTTTAGCTCTACATGCCTAATCTAAACATCTAAATGTGCTTATAAATAATCATAACTATATCTTCAGTACAATGGTTGATCATCATTGCAGAACCCATTTATATGTGGAGGAGTTTATAACAAGATATATGTTACCATTTTTCATTTCACTAAGTAAGTTTTTAAAAAAGTTGCACTTTGCTAAAATAGCTTTACTGACCAAATTCACCCAACAGCACAAAAGCATTAAACTGATATGTATAGTGCCTGCTGAGTTGAATCATGGTGAAGTGTACCAACATTTGGGGCCAAAGACAGGAAACGTATACATCTTAGCACTTCATGTTAGACCAGCGGTCCCCAACCCCCAGGCCTCGGACCGGTACCGGTCCGTGAGTCGTTTGGTACCGGGCCGCGAGAGTTGAGGCTCAGGTGTGAAATGTCTGGTTTTCAGGAGTTTTATCGGTTTTCAGGGTTATTTTGTTTTCGTTTTTATCATTTACTC